ATACAGGTAATATTTGCATGACCCTTTTTATTTGTGGACCAGGTAAGGCACTGTACAGGTAATATTTCCGTGGCCCTTTTATTTGTGGACCAGGTAAGGCACCCTACAGGTGATATTGGCGTGGCCCTTTTATCTGGGAACCATGTTAGGCACCGTACAGGTAATGTTTGTGTAGCCTTTTCATCTGGTGACCAGGTAAGGCACCTATAGGTAAACTTTGCATGGCCCTTTCCTCTTTGTACTAGGTATGTCACCGTACAGGTAATATCTGAATGGCCCTATTATCTGGAGACAAAGTAAGGTACCATATACTAGTAGGTAATGTTTGTATGGTTTATAGGTTTTGGGGCCCAGTAAGACCATACAATTTATATTTGTTTGTTTGTTCTTTTTTATTTTTTTCGTCAATGACATTTTTATATACTAGTGTTTAGATTGCTAGTGTCTAGAATATTTCTTTTCTTTTTTTTTCAGGGCATTTGCCAGAAAGGAGAAACTGATTGCACAGCAGGAAATGGAGATGTCAATGCATTAAATTCTGGAATTGTTGGAAGTGCCAGCTTTAGTTCATAACAACAACATGAATACTGAACCCTGACTTATGTTATCACGTTCTTTCTCTGAAGTAGAATAACTAGAGGTGGATTGTAGTGTTGAACTGTAGAACTATTCTGTGTTCGCTTATTTATTTGTTTTCAATTTTTCCGAGTTGCATGTTTGAGAATATTTTCTAAAACTGTTTCAAGCATAACATATAGTAACTAGATTCATTACCTATAGTACTTGTAGATATTACCAGTTTATTTTCTGATACATGTATATTATTTTCAACACCATTCAATTATTATTAAAGCTGAAATACACGTTTTCACTCTTGCATAGACTTTCATTTCCAGTGTAGTTCAAGTCAGTATATGATTCAAGAATAGCAAGTGTACAGCATTAAAATCATGTATCCCAACATAATACTTGAACGCACTAATGTCGCCAAGAAGCAAGCAATGGATAGAAGTTATTACTGTGTAAATGGTGTAAAGGACAGTAGAATCCAAGGTATTATAGGGATTAGGAATTCGCATTATTGAAAAGGACAGCCTTAAACCCTTTCAAAGGCTGCACTCAAATCTTTCTTGAGGAACGTAAAACCTTTGTTTTCAATTGTTTGGAGAACTCTATGCTTTAATGACTCAAATTTCAACAGAATATAACTCAATGGCCAATTACGGCATCAGACGGAATTCATACAGCCACTTTCTAAGCTCCCATGAACATACCAGCCGAATTTGAAACCAATCCGTTCAGTTTTACTTTTAGTTTTACTTTTAAGTTTTCAGCTCGCGCTTTCAAAGGCTATGTTGCGCATAGAAAAATCTAGATCGATCATTGCCGCATCATATGAAATTGCATTTTCCTTTCTAGACCGAGAAGGAAATAATATTTTGGGATGAAACTTCGACATTAGTATCCTGAAATACCGATATATCTGCGTTGTTAGCAGATCTGCTCTTTTTCCATTCCTTTTGGTAGATACAGGTCAGTCATTTGGCTTCTATTTTTGGTCGTGTCCCAATACCCAACTGAAATGTGCGGTATTTCAATAATAAGGTAGAGTTAGGGATCTACATTATGAAATAGACATAATATTCTACATAGGTCTGGTTAGGACCTTTCAGTGGTATCACCACTTCCTTTTTCATGGGCTGCACCTAGTCTTTTTGGAGGAATGTCAACTTATATTTTGAAAAGTTGTGAGAGAGCAAAGAATGTCCTTGGAGAGATGTGTGCTTTCATGAAGAAATTTCAATTGAAAATAACTCAATGACTAATGATAACATCAGCATGGGAATTCATACAGTAACTTTGTAAGCTTCAATGAACATACCAGCTGAATTTGAAAGAAATCCATCCAGTTTTAGACGAGATATGGAAACCGACACGATTTCAGCTCGCGCGAAGGGAGGTCGCCTTCAAACCGTTCTGTTTCGCATAGACAATTCTAGGTCGATTTTGACCGCATCACGCAAAATTGCGTTTACCTTCATAGACCGAGAATGAAATGATATTTTGAAATGAAACTTGGACATTAGTATCCTGAACTACTTATCTATCTCTGCTGTTAACAGATTTGCTCTTTGGTGAATTTTCGTAAAGCTACAAGCAATTCAGTTGGCTTCATTTTTCGGCCATGCCCCAAAATTTCACTGAAATGTGCGGTATTGCAATAATAAGGTAGATTTAGGGATTTACATTATGAAATAGACCTATTCTTTTATATACGTCTGTTCAGGACCTTTCAGTGGTATCACCACTTCCTTTTTCATTGGTTGCACCTCCTCGTTTCGGAGGAATGTCAACTTATATTTTGAAACGTTGTGCGAGATGTGTGCTTTCATGAAGAAATTTCAATTGAAAATAACTCAATGACTGATTATGACATCAGCATGGGAATTTATACCGTAACTTTGTAAGCTTTTATGAATATACCAGCCAAATTTGAAAGAAATCCGTGTAGTTTTAGATGAGATACGGAGACCGACACGATTTCAGCTCGCGCGAAGCGAGGTTGCCTTCAAACCGCTATGTTTGGCATAGACAATTCTAGGTCGATTTTGACTGCATCACGCAAA